GTTGTATATTCGGCAGCAGTAGGCTAGCCGGACGCGCTTATTCGGCTATCTTTAAACGTTAATATCTCGTTAACTATTGCGCAACCTACAAAATGGTATAAGATTTTTCGATTCGATTCGGTTCGTTCTACCTGCTCGTGATCGATTAGCCGATAATTTTCAAATACCCTGTATATTGAAAATTATGTAAATGGCAGGATATTTTGAATATTTTCTGTAATTATCCAAATTTTAGTAATATTACGTAATATAAAAGAAATTTTTTGCGTATTGTTGTTAAATGTATAATAATATACAGTGCGAAATGTATTGTCATATTATCGTTCCTGTAGCTACACATACACATTGTATTTGTACTTTCACAATCTGCTTAGTTCCAAACCAAGAAATTATTTTTATTTGCATATTGCAAATTTACAAACGTGTGGACGTTTACAACTATTATAGTGGATCTCAAAATTATCCAGCATAATAGTTGTAATTTTACACAATTTTTTACAATGCGCTTGAGACTAGAGAAGCCTCTAGGCCCGTCCGCTGTGATTGTTGGTCGTCGATTTAAAAAAAGTAACGGAAAAGTAACGAAAAGTTACTTTCTCAAGTAACGATAACTGTAATGAGTTACTTTTAAAAATCGGTAATTAGTAACGGTAACTTGTTACTTTTAAAAAGTAACTTTCCATTCCTTGGAAGGAACTAAAGGGAAACAAAAATTTGAGGCATTGAAGACATAGAAACTTATTCTAGGTGAGCAAAAACATTTAAGGTATTTTCAGGTATTATTTTCTAATTTGAAAGTGTAACATTTTTATTATATATCTTATTGTTCCATTTAAAGAACTTTGTTAGTATGATTTGAAGATGGTAAAAACTTAAATATGATTACTGTAGAAGAACTAGAATGCAATTATAAAAATAATAATTTAGTATTGGTATAACCTAATGTACTTGGTTTAGAACATAAAATATTTTATAATTTTTATTTTTTAATTTTTATACTATTTTTATTTTTCAAAAGAATTTGTCTTGAAATTTTTTGATACTGAATACAATTGTATTAATTTGTTACAGTTTCTATGATTAGTGAGATTTTTTTATTTTGTATATTTAGAGAGAAAATTGACTTTATGAAAATCTAATTTTTTTTGTTATAAAAATAATTTTCACATTTTTATAAAGAAAGATGTTAACGATAACTGGTGTCTTAAAAGTCCTAAATCTGAAATGGTTTTTGTTACTTTTAATATAATTGATTTATTAATGTTTAAGTGCACTATTATTACATTTTAATGCGGAAGAAATGGCTACGGCTGAAACTGTTACAAAATTGTGGCTGGCCAACGCTCCATGGCGCACACAAATGGATGGGACTATTCGTCGCAAAAAGTGAAAAAATTGATTCATTACAAGACATAAAAGAGATCAGCAGGACTCAAACGAGCAAAATTATTAATTACTTATGCAATCTGTACAAATAACTAATAATTTTGCTCGCTTAAGTATTTATAATATACATCACGTGCACTATAAATTTTTAGCACTGACAGTAAATATCTGAACGCAGCAAAAGTTATACATTTTTTCAGTTATTGCACACATTCAAAATGTGCTATTGTTGGATGTGTGCAATAGCTGAAAAAATGTATAATTTATAATCAAGATTCCAAAAAACAATTAATTTTTTTAAAGATAAAAATATTTTTTTTTAAATATGTTTAAGCTGTCTTAAATGTTTTTATCACTTTTAATAATTTTTCTTTTAATGTAATCACTTTTAATGTAGTCGGTTCATTTAGTAAACAATGTTTAGGTGCATTTTTGGTTATGACTTTGTATTTTGAAGCATTTACTTTGACTGAGGAGTTTATATAGGCTGCTTTCCTTTTAGGAGACACAAATCGACACAAATGTCGTTCTATCTTTGTCACTCTCTGAATATCAAGAAGGATAGAACGACATTTGTGTCGACTTGTGTCGATTTGTGTCATCAAATGGAAAGCAGCCATATTGTATTATCAAATGGTCTGTTCGCCTTGCTTACATTTTTTACACTCAGCATCTTCTCTTTCTCTCTTTTCGGCGCAAAATATATATCTATCTCATTTTAAGTATAAAAAGTGTAAAAAAAGTGTAAGCAAGGCGAACAGACCTAAAGAGTTTATTACTTTGCACTTTAAATGTTACATAATTGATATTTTTTAAATAAAATTAATTATAAATCTATTAAAAACATTTTTAGTAAATTTTTTATATTACATTAAGGACAATTTTATCAACCACAGTTAAGGTCATGACACACAAAAAAACTTAAAGCAGTAAGACGTAAGCAGTAAGGAAATCAACATGTTGGATTGGTTACTGCTTACGTTATGGCCTTACGGACTGTGATTGGTTAATTCACTTAATGCTTACGATTTACTGCTTAAGTATTTTGTGTGCTATGACCTTAAGACTAATCGATGGTTACAGTTAGCAAAGTTTCAAAATGAGAAATTTGCCTGTTTCTATAATGCCCGTTTCCACCAACGTAGCTTAACTTTAATTTCGGTTCAACTTACTTTCCGTCTTCTTTTACTTCTAAAGATTATAAAAAGACGAAGAGTAAGTTGAACCGAGATTAAAGTTAATCTACATTGGTGGAAATAGACATCGATTCGATGTATCATTTCTCACTGGGAAGAATGCCGTCCGGAATAGAGCGGAAATTGACAACAGAACGGAACTCGCAGAATCAACACGACGAATCACAGTCCTTCCGCTATTTTCACTATAATTTCACCATTACAATTTTACGGATTGAACGAAAGTTGCACATAACCTAAATATTATATGCTGTTGATGTATATTACAATCATTGTCCATATAATGAGATTGGTAACACACTATTTTTTTGTCTTCTTCATTAATATGGACACAGCAACAGAATGTTAATGATTCGATAATTACAGTAAATATGAATGTAGATATTAATCAGCAGCCTACGATTCCGTTTATTTTCTTTCTCTTATGTCCCACTGAGCGGTAAACGCGGCAGCGAAATTAAGTTTCAGCTAATCATGAGATAGTTTTACGATTATGTTAAAGATATTTTACTGCTAAAGAAGTTCTAATGTTTACCAGTTCGTTATAAACAAATTCGTTGCAGTTAAACAGAGATGTAAACCATACGTGAATTTAACAAAGTCCAAATTTTGTCTCAAATCGTAAAAAAATACATAACAATAATTAGATAATTTGCGGGAGGAATAAAATATAATATTACTTGTGTTTATTACATATAATATGCAATAGCTCCTGACAGACTTGGGAAATTGTTCGTTGCAGATAAACTGAGATGTAAACCACACACACACACACACACGCGCGCACACGCGCGCGCACACACACACACACACACACACGTGTGAATTTGAAAGTTCCAAATTTTGTTCCAAACATCCTTTCGTAAATTCCATTTGAGAAAAATCTTCTTGACGTTTTCTGGATGGATTCATTAATTATTAAATACATATTTTATAAAATTTTACATTATATCAGAATTCTCCTGTCTCATTTCCCACCACACTTGCGATCTAATCATATTCTGCACTACCCGTAATGCGTGCTCCTGCCTATAGGCATATAGGAAACTCGATTTTTGCTGAGTATATTATATTTTACACCACAATTATAAAACGATGGGGGTGGAGGTAGGTAAATTTTATGATGTTATCCTTTGTACATATGATCGTAAACAAATTTACCTTTTTAAAAAAATGTAAAAAAACACTAAGCTTGTGTGCTTCTCGTAAAGAATCACTATTTGGGCCAGTTTCACCAACGCCAATTACTTAATCGGCCGTGAAACTGATGACTAATCACGTTTGCTGTTTAGTAGAACTGATATGTATCATTCGTATAAAAGATTTGATATCAACAACTGGCGCCAAGTTAAATTTTACCATTTTAATCCTCCTAAAGAAAAAATAATAGTAACTTTAATTTTTTTCTTAATTTATTTAACTATAATGATATGTATCATTCTCGTATAAAAGATTTGATATTAACAAAATTAGCGCGAAGCTAAATTCATCAAAATTTTATCAAAATTTTATATATTATTCGTAAAAAAGATTTGATATCAACAATTGGCGCCAAGTTAAATTCCATGTCATTCGAATACTAAATTAAATAAATAATATTAACTTTAATGATATGTATCATTCCTGTAAAAGATTTGATATCAAGAACTGGCGCCAAGTTAAATCCCACTTCTTTATAAATAGAAAAATTTTTCATGTAAAAACACTTGGCGCTGCTAGATAGAGCAAGAAAAACTATAAGAACAATTTAAAATTGAAATGGTAATTAATAAAAATAAATAATAAAAAATAATTGTATATAATTTAAAAGTAATAATAAATTCTCTTTCATAATGCATGTCTTACACAAATCTAAATTTATTTTTCTTTGATTTAAACTTAATAGCATTCACAACGATCATCATAATTTACACGATTCTATAACTCAATCATATATACACATGCTAGATATTTTAACTCTCATTGGGGATGGTTTTTGTTTTTCTTATTTTTCGAAATATTCATATTTTTTTAATATGATTCTGACTTTTTTTATTAATATGCTTCTTATTTATATTATTTTTCTAAGTATTATATTCTTATCCTTCTTATTGCATTCATGCTTTACTACTATACTACCATATTATTATATATCGAGATCTAGCAGCGCCAAGTGTTTTTACATGAAAAATTTTTCTATTTAAATCAAATTTTTTCATTTTATACGGTTA